AGGGGTGTCTCTAGCTCCCTTCCTGTGCTTGGTTCTGGGTCTGTGAGGGTGATACAGCAGGTGTCTCAGCCTCCTCGCTGCCCTGGTGGGATGGCTCTGTGTGTGCATGTGCATGCGTGCAGGGGAAGAGTGCATAGAGAGGTGAGGTAGTCAGGGGATGCCCCCAGCTCTCTTACCTGCTTGCTGTACTTGCCACTGGCCTGACAGCTGTACTCGGAGCAGTGGTCCGATCCAATGGAGATGTTGTCTCCTGCCCCCACAAAAGTGTTGGCCGGGGGCAGTTCCTGCACAGCCTGGTGCTTTTTCCCGGCGGTGGGGGACTGCGGGTGCAGCTGGACGGTAGGCAGCGGTGAGCTGGATTTGTAATGCCGGGCCAGGTCAGGGCTGCCTGGCCCACCATTGACCGAGCGGTAGCGGCCCATGCTGGGGCTGTCAGAGAGCTTCTCGTTGACACTGTCATAGCGCTGCCCATTGGGCTTGGAGGCCTCAACGGTGACAATGCTGCTGTAGAGAGGCTGCTTGCCCTTCTTTCCCTTCTTGTCCTTCTTGGGCTTCTTGGCCTTGTCGTGCTGCTGTGGGGTGAAGAAGTCCTCGTGGTCCTTCTTGCCAGCCTCGTAGCCATGCTTGCCCTTGGAGCGGCAGTAGCGGGCCATGACCACCACCAGGATGAGCAGGATGACAGTCATGATGCCAGCCACGACACCGATGACTATGCTGAGGCGTTGCTTACTCAGCTCATAGCTGGGGTCGCCAGCAATGTCCTGGGCTAGGGGCGTGTGCAGGCTGCGGGCCACCTGGCTCTCCACTACGGTGGCATTGGAGAGGCTCTCGTTAACAAAGACATGAAGCAAGGCGGTGGTGGCCTGGGGTGGCTGACCGCTGTCATTCACCTGAACCACAAGACGGTGGAGGCCATAGTGCTTGGGCTCCAGCTTGCCCACAAGTGACACAACACCGCTGGCTGGGTCGATCTCGAAGAGCCTGAAGGGGTTGCCACCTACAATGCTGTAGTTGAGGTCAGCGTTGAGGCCAGCATCAGTGTCAGTGGCCACCACAGTGGCCACCACAGTGCGCAGGTTGCTGGAGGGTGGCAGCACGGTGTAGGAGCTGTTGCTGGGGAAGGTGACAGTGGGTGCATTGTCATTCTCGTCCATGACAAAGAGGGACACAGTGGCAGTGGCTGAGCGGGGTGGTTCTCCGCCATCCACCGCCTTCACCCTGAAGGTGTAGCTGGTTTGCTGCTCCCGGTCAAAGGACACGGTAGAGTAGATGGTACCCGTGTCATTCTCAATGGAGAAGATGCCGGCTGCACCGTCCTGCTCACCAGCCTGGATGGACAGGCTGAGCTCAGCGTTGCGGCCCTTGTCAGCATCCATGACAGTCACCATGCCCACAGGGCTGTTGGGCTGCAGGTTCTCCTTCACATAGAAGGTGAAGACATCTTGCATGAAGCGCGGCTCATTGTCATTGCGGTCTGCCACGCGCACCACCACAGTGGTGGAGCCCTGCAGCGCTGGCACACCCTTGTCGCGGGCCGTCACCTGGAACTCATAGGTGTCACGCTGCTCACGGTCCAGCACGGCCTGCACCAGTACATCCCCAGAGTCGGGGTCGATGCTGAAGAGGCCGCCAAGTGCCTCAGCTGACAGCGGCGATGGCTCCAGAGAGTAGGCAATCTCAGCGTTCTTGCCGCTGTCCGCATCCGTGGCCACCACTGTGGCCACCCGCTCACCTGGCACATTGTTCTCGGGGAAGGAGACCTCCAGCACAGCCTGACCGAACACAGGCGGGTTGTCATTGGTGTCGCCAACGCGCACGAGCAGCGAGTTGTTGCTTGACAGGCTGGGGCTGCCCGAGTCCACGGCCACGATTACCACATGGTAGTCACGGACGGCCTCATAGTCGAGCGGCGCAGAGGTGTGAAGGAAGTACTTGCGCTTGTTCTGTGGCTCGCCCTCACCCTCGCTGGCCGGCTTGAGCTGGAAGGGCACATCCCCCACCACGGTGCAGGTCACCACACCGTTTTCGCCCTGGTCGCGGTCGGACACCTGCACCAGTGCCACCGGTGTGTCCACCAGCACATCCTCGGCCACGCTGGCCACGCCGTCCCGCAGCGGTATGCGCCCAATCTTGCGGATGTCAATGGTGGGCACGTTGTCGTTCTCGTCCCGGATGTTCAGCACCACCGTGGCCTTGTCGGTCTTGGGCGGCTGGCCGCGGTCGCGGGCCATGACGGTAAAGCGGAGCTGGTTGACCTCCTCACGGTCGATGCGGTGCAGGACGCTGAGCCAGCCCGAGGTCTCATCCAGCCGCAGCAGGCGCCGCACCGACTCGGTGGCCGCCCCAAAGACGTACTCGATCTGCCCGTTCACCCCCACGTCCAGGTCGGCGGCCCGGAGCTGCAGAATGGGCGTCCCGGGGCTGCTGTTCTCCGCCAAGTCCGCCTCGTACACGCTCTTCTCGAAGCGCGGGCTGTTGTCGTTCACGTCGGTGATGAGCACCCGCAGGATGGCCTGGGACGAGCGTGCCGGCTCGCCGCCGTCCCGCACCCGCAGGCTCAGCTCGTAGGAGTCCCGCTGCTCGCGGTCCAGCGCGCCCTTGACGATCAGCTGCGGCTGCTTCTCGCCGTCCACCGTGTCGGCCACCTGCAGCTCGAAGACGCTGCTGCGCCCGGCGGCGTCCGCCTCCTGCCGCCGCTTGC